CCCCCGAAACCTTTAAGCCCCCCCTCAGGAAAATTTTAAAACCATGTATTTTATTCGAAAACCGGGGCTCAGAGGTGCCTTAGAAGACGCTGAGCCCCGTCCCCCAGCCCCTCCAAGCTCAAAATCCTGGCTCCGCCACTAAATGGAAAATAAGTTTTGTTTTTCAATTTACTTTGACTTAAGTGGTATTAATAAAAGTTTTTCTTATGATAATACTCAATAGCTGTTAAATTCATTTTTACCGAGCATATTCTTGAAACATAGTTCATCTAAAAACAAACGTTAGCTAATTGAGTAAAAACATGATTAATACAACTATTGATGTAAGTTTTATCTATTAAAATTGACAATAGGACTGTGAATTATTCTGATATACCGATATTGATAAAATCAATTAAATATTTCTATGAATTGAACGAACTGCAATCTCAAAGAACAAAATTTTAGTTGGATTATCTTACGAACTCTTTTTTTGTTATTGTCAGATTTAATGGGGGAAATATTATTCATGAAAATATATATAATCATATTCGTGTGCAATAGCCAATATATTAATTAAACATCCCAAACAAAAGAATGAAATTGAACAGATTGAGATCTAGATAATAATGGCATAGTCAACTAACAATCTGTATAACTTACCATTTTGCTTTGTCATCATGTATGTGTTAGTGTCCAAATAGAGATAAAGTTCAACGTCGAATTGAGGAAGTTAATGTTAAAACTCGACTGTTTCTTTAGATCGACGTCGAATTTGAGTTCTCCATGGTGTATGGAGAGGGAACAATGATATTTCATTTAATAAAATCATTATTTAATCAACTAAGTCAGAATTCGTGAAATCACGAATGATTTTATACACAAGAACATCTTTAATGGAAAACTGCTCATAACTACTTGAATCTTTACTTAATTCATCCATTAATGATTATATTACCTGAAATAAGATAGCTAGCATTAAGTCATCAGTAAAATAGATGAAATGGTCAGTTTTTTAAATATAAGTAGCAGTAAAAAGTGTTCAATTTATATCAGTAGAAAAATAATCTTTACAAGTAGAATATAAATTTGAATAAATCAAACAACCAGACGATAAATAAGAAGAAATTTAAAGAGTAATTGAAAAAAAGAAAACCACAATTGAATTACTGTATTAGTAAACTAGATTTAGCCTTTGCTGGTCTACCTTCTTTTCTTTTCTCACCGTTCGGCAATATCACTGCTTCTACAGCTGCTAGTAATTTACAATATTTCAAATAAATAGCCATACCCACAACATGTTTGCATATATAATTCTTCGAAAAGAGCTGAACAGTTGCATTTCAATGTTTTCCAATGGGAATCATTTTCCATTTCCATAATTAAATAACTTTTGAATTGATTTATACGTTGTCCATTTTATTTGTTATGTCTATTTAAATCATCTTATGTAATTGAGTATAAATCATGAGCTGTTATAAAATACTTATTTGAAGCATCATTAGAAATATAAATGATATCTTTTATTGATTTAGCTCATTGATGTGATGAAGTCGGTAATTCTAAAGATATTGTTGTTGGTTCTGTAGCAAATATTCTCACATTAATTGAGAATGAATCCTGTTTGGTTGATGAATTATTGATAATATGTGAAGAGATTGTTAAAATTCTTGGAAAAACATAGTATTCTCCAAATGTTCCATCATCTTTGGTTGTTTTATTGGTTGCATCCAAGGCATTGTTTCTATTAGGTGCATACAGTTGTATGCCTTCATATCAGCTATCATTTGATTTAAAACAATTCATTATCGAATGTATTTTTTTATCCAACATATTGATTTCCTTTTTTCTTAGGTTCTTTTATTTCATGATCTTCTTCCATCACCTCTTCATCTGATATATCAATTTCATATTGAGAAGCCTTTACTACTTCTATATTTTCAAATACATCAAATTTTGTAAAAGTGATACATGTTATTTTTATTTCAAAAACACTAAATATTTATACATAGAAATAGGTAAAGACAACATCCAGGAAAGAAACCGAGAAGTTTTTTTCCCCTTTGTGTTAAATAATTAACAATAAGAAAAATTAAAACAACGATGATTCTTCTTCTTCTTCACTAAATATGTTGGTTAAAAGTAGGTGAAAAAAACCAGAATATATTTAGAACAGCTGAAGAGAAAGAAAAAGAAAAACAAAACTTATTCACTCTATAACCAATTCAACTTTTATACTAACCCTTTAATATAATCAACTGTTAATAAACTGTATTTACTAATTTTTAAATTTATTTACAAATCTAATTAATCTAATACCTGATCGTTCAAATAATTTACTGGTCAACCATTTACTTTACTGACCATAAGTCATATTCCGAAATATAATTTCTGTCTAACAATGCATCAAGAAGAATTCAAATCCGACATCGATCCACATACTAATGCGATTTTTATGGTAAATTTCTTCCTTACTTCGACATTAGACATGTTCAGTGTGTGAAGACACAATATTAGTCCAAGNGTGATCCTTTGTGTAAAAAAAATCGATCCGAAAAAAATTTTAAAAAACTAACATCAGATTCGAGTTCCTCGACCCTGATTACCCTTCGGTCAACCCTTATAAAAACGATGATGTGAGAGGTCAAAAAAACATTTTTTCGTTCTGTGCGAACGAACGAACGGACGGAGTCACGAACATACGAACCTTGCTCGGTGTATGACCCTCCTTTCAGTAGAGGGAATGATCGTCTTTACCATGTGCATGAGATTTATCACATGTCAAACTGATGATAGTAGTTAGTCAAAATGATTATCGACGAGCGTTTGAGTAGAAGATAAATTACAAATAATAGAGAGCCATTCGTGAATCACGGTTTTCAATAAATATCAGCAAAGCTACCCTCATTGGACGATTTTATTGCTATATTGTCACACAATGAATTGAACTAATGTATCACAATACAATCAACGGTTTTTAGGCCATTTTCACTACATAGGATTTCAGCTGCAAAGGTTAAAAGAAGCTACTTTTATCGTCCGCCTCGCTTAACCGCAATATGTGTAATCAAGCTCAACTTTTTTTACAGATGGTAGATATTGTTTGGCTAATCTAATTTCTTTTTTGTTTCTGGTTATCTCCTTCTGTTCTAATAAAAACACCAAAATCCATAAGAACACTCTAAAAAAACGCATGCTTGTTCGTGTTTTTTTAAATAGAGGCTTTTTGTAAACCGTGGGAAAAACCGGCGGTACATTTTATTTTGAAACAAAAAAAGTAGCATCACAGACAGTTGTTGGTATAAATCAAAGAAAGTTTTAGTTTGGTCACATATAGTGTGACTGAGAAGCAGCGACAAATGCACACTTTTTTTTCCTCAAAGGACTTATTTTCCAAAAATAGTAAATTAATACGTCAGTTTTAGTGCTTTTAGAGAAATTGTCTCGAGTTTTTCGGTTTTTCCGACTTTTATAGTTATATATTATATCTTAAAATATGTCCAATAAAATGGTGAATACTCTGAAGCGATTACACAGCAGACGAAGCAAAAATGAAAAACTTAATAGGTTTTGATCGGGAAAAGCAACAGGTCCTTTGAAAGATAATTGTCTTACATTTTCAAACAAAACTCATGTTAATGAACATAAATAGTTTTGTACACAAAATAAATTCAAAGTATCTCATGCAGAATTGTACGTGAAGAAGGATTACAGGCTAAACATACGACTCCATACAGTTCAATTATCAGTAATCAGCGGATAACAAATATGAAACTTTTTTTTCTATTAATAGACGATTGCCATATAAAATAAATAAAAAATAGATTAATGCTGTTAAATTGATACTATTGCAGTTGAAGGACACTTCCCTTGTTATGTATTTACACAACACGAAAAAGAATTATTGCTTGAATCAGAGCTCTGAATGAAATCGGAAGAAACGAAGACTTTATTCCATAAGATAAGCCAATTCATTTCATTTCATCCCATCCTATGAGTCCCATAGGATTTTATACTAGATAGAATTATAATGATCGCCAAAAATATTCTGGTGTACCTATCAAATGAAAACATTTTTTTTCTTCACGCATTTTTAGTCACAGTTTATTTTGATAAAAATGGTTTCATCAATTTTTTCATACAATCCCAGTATCTTTGAAAATAGGAAATGAAATAAATACAAATAATACCAAATACTATCGACAGAAAGAAAAAAAACTATCAGATTATCATAGATAAATAAAAATGTACAAAAATCTGTAAAAAATATTATAAATGTAGTTTCTTTATGATTCAAATAAATAAGATACTACCAACATCGCTTGGGAACTAGACCTGTTCTGCTTTCATTTAAAATCAGTCCCGTACTACTGTACTGATGTTCCACAACAGCAAATGTTGCAGGTATACAGAGAATTTTTCTTGCTTGTGTTATGAATGTTGGAAATAAATTTTGATTTGCTCTCCAAAAATCAAGGGGATTTTGAGATAATGTTGTTTTATCAATATAAATCTTGAGAGATTTTGTTAATTTATCTGGTTT